TTATTAGAATCAATATTTGCTGATTTCTATGAACATGAACTTCATTTAGCAGCAAATAAAAATAATATCAGCAAAGTTTATCTCGTCAAAATGGATGATATTGAAGAAGTTTATTTTATTATAAGACTTTGTCCTCGTATGACATATCTCAAAATCAATTTGATTGATAATGTTGATTATGAAATGTTTCTAAAAAATCTTTTAATGAAAATTAATAATGATTGTAGTCAATATCTTCGTTCATTATGTCTTTATATTCCAACAGCAAACAATGATATGATTAACAAATTACAAGATATGATTAATCGTGAGAAACTTCTTCATTATTTTACCATTAAACTTGAATTTGATAATATATATCTTCAATGGAAATGATTAGATTATATGTAGGGGTGTTGTTTTTTGTTTATCTATTGATTTACGAAATAAAAATTAAAAAAATAAATTAATTAAAACTCATTTATTCCTTTGTGTATGAATTGAAAATAAGATCAATGGATTGATTGATTGATATCTTTTCAACAGCTAAAGGATGCTTCATAATTTCTCGATCTCGACAAAACTTAGTTTATATCATCAGTAATGAATCACATTGGTTCAGTCAGGGACGACTTTTTTGAGAATATAGCGGTTTTTCTAATAAAACTTGTCTAAAAGGTTTCGAAGTCGATAAATCCGTGAGACTTATCAGCTTTCGAAAATTGTGCAATCTGATACTCTTGATCGATCTATCTAATTTGAAAAAGGTCATTATTTCTCAAAATAAGCGACTCCTAACTGAACTGATAGTATTCGATACTAATATTATCAATACCAAACGGTATGTAAATATGTCTACCTTCAACTAATGAATGTTTTCAAGAATAGAAATCTCCTATTAGTCAAAAGCGTGTGCAACAAGAGAATTTTTATCGACTCTCTTCAATTTGTTTCTTTTTCAAACAGACCTGCAATTTCGATTTTGACGCTACTGTAGCTTTAAATGGTTAATCCATCAGTCTAAAACATGCATATAATCTTTAAAACTATAGTTAAGACCGCGCTATGTGGTTAAACGAGTGATGAAGTCTAGACAGGTAAATGGTTTTTCTTTTACATTATGTGGATATCCTGTGAAAATGATGAGTAGTGATATGAGAAAAACATTTATCCTCGTATATTTATAACTTCTTCACTATCTTATGCTTTGTTTGAGTAATAAAGTCACTTACTAACGACAATAGCTAGCGATCTGTGGCTTTCATCAATTGAAAGAGGAGAAGTTGGGACGCCTTTTTCTCCGATTATTATAAAACGAAACCCTTTTGAAAACTAATCATCTTCGAAAAAAGCTTGCAAAAGAATACATAAAAATGACCTGCTATCTAGATGAAACTTTGATTTTAACATTCGATTTAGATAGAGGAACTTGAGATCTGTAGTTCAAGATACAATGCAAATAGTTCTCTTATTGCATTCTAATGTTAAACAAACTTTACTGGTTTTTTAAGAAGTTTTCGGACTTTTTATCATAATAGGTTGACATTTCGGTGAAAATGTAATGAAAATTAAGAAAGCGCATTGCATCTTGAACTGTAGATGTAAAGTTTCTCTATCTAAATCAAAGGTCAAAATCAAAATTTCATTCAGATGATAGGCCATTCTCATGCATTCTTTTGCATGTTTTCCGAAGATGATTAGTTTTAAAAGGATTTTGACTTATGCATTATCGGAGAAAAAGACGTTCCAACTTCTTCTCTTTCGATTGGTGAAAGTCGCAGGTTGCTAACTGTTGCCATTATAGAGTTATCGCGCTTACACCTATCTCTCTTTCATTCTGGTGTGGACAGTACATGTTGTCATGAAGCACATATAATCTCGACATTTTTTGAAATTTCTTTTTATAAAATTTATTTATTTTTATAATATGCATTGTTTTCTCTTTTTAATTAAATATTAATATTTTTCCAAAAAAAAATTTTTTGTACAAATATTGCAGTTATCGATAATTCAGGAAAACAATTCTATCTATCAGAGATGAAACCCATCTGGATTGTTGAAGACGATACCGGTACTGATCCAAATAGGTCAGATCAGATTGGATCGATCACTCTAAAAATTTTACCTACACACATTCTATCTTTAGATAGTGGTAATTGATGTAATCTTGGGGTGTGGGTGTGGGTGTGGCGGGGTGGGTGTGGGTGTAGGTGTGGGTGTGGCGGGGTGGGTGTGGGTGTGGCTGTACATTAAGAAACACTCATCCACACCCACATCCACCCACACCCGCACTCACACCCACCCACACCTACCCATATCCACACCCACTCCCACCCACATCCACACCCACTCCCACCCACATCCACACCCACACACATGTCGGCAGAACCAGGAAATCAGGAGCAATTCCCAGATGCCAAATAGCTTTTGAGTCAAGACTATATGCATTATGCATGCTCTAATGAGGTATGAATATCCTGAAAAGAGTTCGCTCTCGTAACTTATTTCTGTTGAGATATTTCGTTTTTACGGCATTTTGTATCAAAAAGCCGTGGTACCCCTCAGGTTCACATGAAAAACCAATTTTCGAATTTCGACTTGAAACTTTGCGCAGAGAAAGATCTCAATGGATCTAGTTTATTCTGAAAGTTTTTGACTTTTGGGTTGCTTCTAACTCAATATACGGGTAAAGTCAAAAATAGCCTTTTTCACATCACTTATAGCACAAGTTGTTAAATGTTCATATTTAAGGATAGAAGTAACCAAGAGATTTGAAACTTTCAAAATAAACAAGTATTATTGAGACCTATCTCTGTGCAAAGTCTCAAGTCGAAATTCGAAAGTTGATTTCTGAGGTGAATCTGAGGGGAACCACGGTACTGTGCTATAAAATACTAAATATTTCGACAAGAGTTCAATGGCGCATCTTTGCGCATGTACTAAAGACAGATCATGATACGTTCTATCAAACGATAAATTAAAACTTGAATTTAAACTTTTGCAAAATCCCGCAAACGAACTGCATTATGGGCCAGTGGCTATTTTTCACTATACTGATGAGAAGTTTTTGATCTCATTATAGTCTAAAGAACTTCAAGAAGTCGAAACAATCAGTAATATATAGTAAACACATAACACTGTATAACTACATAATAACTAACGGATATAACTAGATTCTCGGTTTAACATATGCATTTTACTTATATGGCAGTATTAGTGATATTTACCCATTTTACGTGCCTCATGGTACTCGCAACTTAACAGATACTTGCTTTCAACTATTATCCGGGATGCAGTCAAATGCAGGATCACAACAGCTCCAATGCTAACTAACTACAATATGGGTTCGAATCTCGAAAGTCCATTCTTCCTCCTGGCTGTCCACTGAGACCCACGTCCACACCCACACCCACACCCACACCCACACCTACACCCACACCCACACCCACACCTACACCCACACCTACACCCCGCACCCATACCCGCACACCCACACCCACACCTACACGCCACAACCACACCCACACCTCAGCCCAATCATTTTTACGTGTTTTTCAAAAAAGCAAAAATATCTTATGATTATGATCGATAGGTAATGTAAGCTTTTATTATATATCGTATATTTTAATATTGTCCATCATACAATCATAAGACACTTCATCTGTTATTTCAAAAGATGAATAAGAAATAGGAAGAAAAGTGGATTTATATATTATTCATGAAACCGTCAAAAATAAGAATCAGAATATGGCTCATTTACTATGCATGCTAGGCACTGTCGATAGGCAGTATTGATACAGGATCCTTAACATACCGCCTCATATCGATACGCTACGGTAGAGAAAAGAAATAGGGTGAGAGACTGGATAGAAAAGACAAAAAAATGCAACCTAGTGAAGAAAATGTCTTATTTCAAGGCTTGTTAATTTTCGATATACCTTGTATACGAGCTTTATTCAGCCATTTTTTCAAGAACAAAATAAATACAATTACAAATACAATGCTTTGTATCGTTAATAGAAATTTCTTTTTTTTTTATATAAATTGAATCGATTATGCAATGGCGTATGCCAATTTCACTGAACTTTTCTTGATTACTCGTCAGAAAGAACTAGATTTTAACTTGTTAAAAGATGACAGACAAACTTTTTTATTTAGTTTTAAAAAAGAGTAAAATTATTTGATGCATCGTATACCTATAATAATCATTCAAAGATAGTATCAGAAAATATATTGAAGAACATTAATTCAGGAAAAATCTTTCCAGTTCGTACAGAAGCAAGCTAAGAAAATTTCACTTGGTGGATTAACGTGAACATATTGAAATTGTCTTGTAGCATCTTACCATAGAGAACAATTTGACCAACATTCGCAATTCATTCTACTTCTCTAACGCCGTATTTGGTAACTTATTCTTCTACGTGAACTTTTGATTATGTCATCGTTGAATTTAGCAGGCATTAGAGAAGTGAAATCACGACATTTATATACATTTGGAAGAGAAATATATCTTTTGTCGACTTTATTTTTTTAGAAAAAACTGATCGTTGCTGTTTTGAAGCGTATTTACAGCATTATTCTAACAGTCGATATTAAGGAAAGAAACAGTTTAGTGAAGAATATTAACAAACACATCTCTACTGATCTAAAAGCTATTACATATCCGAGAAATACAAATCGAATTATTAACAATTTTGGGCACATTGGCCACTCATCGGAATCCGTTCTCGTAACAAAGTAGAACATTGCCAGCATCATCCATCACCCAGATCGAATTATATTCGGCCGGCACAATATCATAATGTTGGGAACACGCTGCTGGAGTCAAGATCAGAGACAGAAGTAGCACAATAAATGCAGTTATATCAATATGGTTTCGTCTCATTGCGCGTTGAACAATGGATCAAGTAGTGTTTTGATAATAGATGAATAAATAAGGATGTGAGGTGTGGCTGTGGCTGTGGCTGTAGGATGTGGGATGTGGGTGTGAATGAGTAGTTCTGTTACAGACACACTCACATCCACATCCACATCTACACCCACACCCACATCCACATCCACACCCATATTCATACCCCACACCCTCAGAGTGGATTTCCATGCGCCGAATCAGTTTCAACTAGAAGCAAGTATGTAAAATCATTTTCATGCTAGACGATGTGCGTAGCTTTCAAGAGCACTTTTCTGTACAGCCCAGGCCGGTTGGGTATTCTTTGTATTCAATGAATGTATATGTATGGTTATATATGCAAATAAATACACATTCGACGTATACAATTGGGGTCATAATCTGATTCATACACTTCTACAGATAGTTATACTTTTCGTCGAATGATTTTGGTTGAAAGTAAAGTGGTAGAAATGTTTAAACGAAATCACTTGAAAAAACATCGTTC